TTGTGTCAGAGAAAGAGCTTTTGCGCTCTCAAGCCTTTAAAGAGAATACTGAATATGAGACTTCACCTCCAAAACTATCTGCTTCCCAGCTTATTAAAAGTGTTTCGTCCGGTAATATTTTGGATATACAAAGTGTGGACGACAAAAAAACCATTGCCGATCGTGTGCGCAGTAAATGTGAGTATATACATTACCCTGTTACTTACAACAACATATGGAATCAAGCAGACTGAAAAGTTCATATCGCTTCTAAGGAAGAGCGCCACAAGAATGTTTAACATAACGATGTAACATGAAGTTAATACAAAGATGGCGCACGAACACATAAAACTGTTACTGAAACGTTTGGAGTAATTGAAAAGAAATCAATGAATATTACTGTTATAATCACAATCTCACCATCCTTGCAACTATAAAACGACTTTTACCTGAAAAAAAATTTCTTGGAAACGATAACACATTTTCAGTCTGCGTTTCATGCAGAAGAAATTTCTTCATTACGTCATTCAAGATGAGTTTTCCATCCCAAACAAAAATAATACCTTAACTGCCATCTATATATATTAAATAAATAAAATGTATATTTTAACCTATTCAATTTCCTTTCCATTTCTCACACAGTTCCAAGAAGCGTCTTCAAACTGTAAGTATATTTACGGAAATATGTTAAAATCACCTTCATAATAATATAATCGATTATTTAGAAAAACATTGTTCGAAAATCCAAATTTTTGCTTTTTGCAATCCATTGACCCACACAAGTCCGCAGCCAAAAACCACATTTTGTCAAAAGTGTTTTAACTTTTTACCACTCTGTTTTGTTTTTATGATTCAAAATACATTTTTCAAAGATTTCTACCAATGTAAATGATAAAAATTAAGTTTTTGGCATTATGGTGTAAAATTTTGTTTCGGAAGAGGGTGTTCGCTCTGAAGTAACAAAACCAAATATTTGAATAATACACAGCTAAAGCAAAATATGTGTACATTGCTTTTCGAAACAAAGTAACAATTATAATATCTATCTAGAAAACCTAAGTACGCCAGGCACATAAAAATTAAGATTTGAACGATTTCGTTTACCTTTTTTGTTTTAGACTCAGAACAACACTTAAAGCTAATTTTATCAAACTTGTTTCAAGTAAATATTGTCTCGATTTGACGCTTTTGAATCCTAATTAATTTTTAACTGCTCTAATCAATAAAAAAAAAACCGATAATTCAATAAGTTCAATCTTCAGAAACTAGTTAGAATTTCAACCAATATTACTTTTTATGTTATTTATTATGTTATAGAAATATACGTTCACCAAAATCCGAAAAGAAACAAAATGACATCATTCGTTTTGCAAAAACGGAAAGTTTATATTTGGAAACAGATGCGCAACCTGAATTTCCAATTTTCGGGGCACCACTTGAAAAATTAGAAATGAGTGAAGTTGTTCATCATGTTCCACGTGTTGTTGTGGACTGTGTAGCTTATATCGAACGTAAAAACTTTATATTACAAGATGGATTATATCGTGCTTCTGGCAACAAAGTAGCTATTGATGAATTGAAAAAAAAGCTATCCGAAAGCTTCGTCTACAATTCAAATCTTTTGGTTGCTGATGACATACATACTATTACTAGTTTATTAAAACAATTCTTTCGAGAATTGAGCAACCCTTTGATTCCCCAGCATATATATAATCAACTCGGGCGTAATTTTCTTGAAACTGTTGGTATTGAAGCATTGAAAAATACACTTGAAGAAATGCCTGATCCTAATCGAGCAACATTGAAGTTTCTTATACGCCATTTAAAGAAGTAATTTCAAAATACTTATGAGAAAAAATTTGCAATTTATATTATATATTTTTGTTTTCAGTGTTGCCGCCTTCAGTAAAGAAAACCGCATGCCTGCATCTAACTTGGCAATTGTATGGGGTCCATGCATTTTTACATCAGAACAAATTGTATTTGGTGATATCGGACGAATGAATACACTAACTAAACTATTTATAGAAAACTACGAATACATATTTAGCGAAAATGAGCGACTTGTAAATTAAGTTGTAAAAATACATCACGTTTTAGAATTATTTTTGCAATTAAGGTAAACAATTTAGCAAACCCTCTACATTTACATACAAACATATGTACATATGTTTTATACTCTAGCGACATGTTGAACAGCGTGTAATTATTTTGCTATTGTTATTATCCTAATGATTTCTTGTAACACTTACATCTAAAGGAGATACATAAATAATTAGAAATTTATATCAAAATTAGCAAGATGACAAGATGATTTGACCTGAAATCTTAATAATGTCAAATTATTAAAATCGTTCCAAGACTTCTCCATTCTCCTTATACAGATTGATATGTTAGTGAGTTTTATGCCAAATATATCGTATCATATGTGGTATAGTAATTATATTAATAGAATTGTGTGGAAGCTTGTTCGCAAGTATAGTCATAGTTGGCCATTTGCGAGAGTATACAATTTTCGCCTGCAACCGAACACAGCCTTTCCTGAATTCTTTATTAAAAAATCATGCTAAAATTAAAAGGTAGTATGCGCTAGAATTAACCAAATTTTACATTGTGATAATATGTATTAAATATACGAGTGCAAAGCTCTAAATTGCAATAAACTAGTAAAATCACTATCTCTACTACTATATACTATATACAGCCACTGACCGCTAATTAGAAACACAAGATAATCGAATAAGTAAAAAAATTTTAATTTTGCCTTTTTATTTTCTCTTCGGAATGTAGTTATACGCATTTATCAAAGTGATTATGTTGGCAACAGAAATTCAATAATAAATGCACATGTGTCCATTGACGCCCTGAGGTGGCGGTTTGTTGCTAATCGGAAAAGTACTATTATTCAGATACACGAAATTTAAATAAATGCCTCCTAATAGGCACGTACTAAAGTTTGACACCGAAATTATTAACTATAAACTTAAAAACCGGAAACCGAAAAAGGGCCATAACTAAACTAAGTTAAGATATAAAACTATAATTTGGTACAAGGGATCGAAGTAGCAAGGAGCGCTTGTGGTCAAACGTTTTTTTAAAAAGTGGAAATGGCCCCGCCCACTAATAAGTTTAAAGTACATAGAACTCGGTACATAGAAATCGGAGAATATCACCGCTCACTCCCCATAAAACGATATTGTTAATATACAGAAATGAGGAAGCAATTGATATAACGGGTTAAAACTTTGCACTAATAATTCCTTTAAAGTATGTCACCTCATGACCAAAAATTGCCCAAAATCCAAATAAAACGTTTCTAACTCCTAGGTACCTTGACCTGCCCCCATCTAACTATTACCAGAATTTTCGGACATTCTGCTGAATTTTCTTCATATGATAGGTGATTGTGTGTGAGGTGTCTTAAAGAAACACAGGGAATATTTTTTAGTACGTGGGATGATAATAGTTAATAGATAAAATCGGGTCGATACTACCCCAATTCCCATATACTACGTGTAATCATTTTAATTTTTCTGACAAATCTTATGCCGCATTTTTAATAAGGTATTTCTCTGCCGTTGATTTTTGCAACTTAGCCTTTTCTTACAGTTTTTTAATGCATTATTTGCAATTTTCCCTAGCGGAACTATTTTTCCGCTTTTTGTAATGTTCTAAGACTTAATAATAAAATAAATTTTGTATAACGCACACATAAAATCACTTCGCGTGTAAAGTACCCGGTACTCAAGAGTGCTCACTCCATGTACTTTCCATGCTAATTCTTTCAATGTATTGTAGTCTCGTGTAGTCTCGAAATGATGTACAGTCTGTCAACAAATAGCGGATCCAGAATTTCTTTCTGATGCCTTCCAACATATTATTACTTCGTTCTTCTGAATTTGAATTAAAATATCTGATTTGGGTGTCAAATTTAGCTCCTGTTGTCAACTATAAAGAAAAATTCCTTAAGCCAAGGCAAAAACCACAAAAAATGCCCTTCAAGGACTATTTGTTATGACTCACTCATTATTAAGTGTACTGTGCATACATACGGCATTGAGATTTGTTATTTGTTTGTATTAATAGCGCAATCCAATAAGCAGCATGCTATTCACAACACAGTCTTTAGTCACAAAAGATTGTCTCAAATTTGTCCCCCGATAGTTAGCAGGCCACAAAACTAAAAAGAACTCCTGTTTGCAATCTTAAATATACTGATAATTCACTTATAGAGATCAACATAGATATTAATCGATTGTCGTTTTTTATATATTTTTAGCAATTCAAATAAGAAAAAGTTAAATATATATCAATTTCACATATATTTCGAAATGTTTTGAAACAAAGTTAATATTATATAAATCACATATATATTTTTTTATTGGTAATTACGATTTTGACTATGTTTTAGAAGATTTAATATTTTTTATCGACATATTTATTTTCCTTCAATTTTGTATACTTACATCCCTAAAAACAAAATGTAAAAGCTAATTAGACCTGTTCATTTTCAATTGAGAGATTTTTGTGACTGTCACATAAATATGATACACTTTGGATATATTTTCTAGTATTGAAGAGCAACACTATTTTTAAAAAGCCACAATATTTTTATAATCGAATGCTCTTCCGAAATTATGCTATTACAGAGCTAACAAATGAAAAGGTAATTTGCAAAAAGATTTGTATATTGAATTCTTTAACTAATAGAAATGTATATAGTAACTTCTCATGCAAGTGAAATTTCCATATATTATGCAAAAAGAATTGTACATTGAATGCTTTAACTAATAGAATATACATATTATGTTATGCGTTAAAGTACACTTTGAACACGTTTTTAAAATAAATAATTCGCACTAGAACTCTATTTAATTTTTTGTAAACGAGGTATAATATGCGACTATTTTATTATTGTACACAAAGTATTTCATTGATATGGCAATACTGTATCTCTTTTTTTAATTTCTGTAAATATACAGAATTGTTGTGTGCTTTATTTCATAGAATAATCGGGAAAAATGGAGTTAGATTGGCAAAATGGTTTTCAGCAAATAAAAGAGCGAGGACTTTACTTGCTGCAGTCCGAGAAGTGGTCTGATTGTAAATTTCTTGTTGGGGCTGCCCCAAATCAACGCATTCTTTGTGGACATAAACTAATTTTAGCCATGTCCTCACCTGTTTTTGAAAGGATGTTTTATGGTAATCTTCCGGATGAGAGTGATCCTATTTTAATACCTGATGTTCAACCCGATGCCTTTCAAGCTATGTTAGAGTATATATATTCAGATCGCATCAGCATAAGCTCCTTTGATAAGGCCTGTGAGTTGTGTTATGTTGCAAAGAAGTATATGCTGCCTTATGTAGTAGAGCAATGCACCCATTTTCTCTGGGCAGATTTAAGTCCCAAAAATGCTTGCCGTGCATATGAATTTGCTAAATTATTTGATGAACCACGTTTAATGCAGAGTAGTATGAGTGTAAGTAATGTATATTTTAATTAAATCAAATATACATATAATTATTTTTTAGATTATAGCAGCAAATACACGCGATGTGCTGGCTGATCCCAGTTTTGTTGATATAGAAATCTCAACATTAATGGCTATTCTTGATCAAGACCGTTTGAATATTACGTCTGAGTTGGAACTTTTTAATGCTTTAGTAAAATATGCTTCTGAGCGCGCACTTTTTGTTGAAAACGAAATTATGCCTATGACGCCATCCTCATCATTAGATAAGGGATCACTGCAACACTCTTTTGATGTAGACAATAACACATCCGAAGTTGTAGAGATTAAAATGGAGCCAGACGACTCCAGCCTTGTTCATAGTCGCCAAGAAAACTCTGATACTTCTCATTTAGTGGAAGACGTGGTTGTCGTAGAAAATGATACTTCCACTACGTATGAAGAAAAAAATGGACATAATAATCCGTCATCGACAGAAATAAGCATGATTGCCTCATTTTCTTGTTCAAATAATGAAATTGACGAAGCTCTTATACGTCAAGCTGTTCAGAAGATACGTTTTCTTACACTCACACCTCAGCAATTTGCAGAAGGTCCTGCGCGGTCTAAGCTGCTCAAACAGAATGAAGCTCTAGCAATTCTTATTAAAATTTCAAGTCCAACTATTAATGACTGCCCCATGCCCGAAGGTTTCTGCAGCTCGAGAACAAGTCGGGAATATTATGAATCGCGAAGCCAACGAGATTTACCATCATACCATCGGCCCACCCCATCAAATGGTCCGGCAGTATTTGCTCCATTTGAAACTTTCGCGGGGAATACAACTTCTATTGTAACAACTACTCCGCAGGCATCTTCGAATAACGTAAGTACTTTCCAAGGTGGTAGTGACTCTGATTTAACTACAAACGACACTCGACGTTCATACTGTGTTCGTACGCTAAACCAGCAATTTGACTATAGAAATACCAGTGTTACTGATTGCGGACTAACATTTCAAGTGGATAGTAATATATGGATAACAGGTTTGTTAAATTAATAATGCATATTTTTAAATACCGTTAACAATATTATATACATATATACAGGAGTGCAAGTACCGACTCAGGTTCTCTGTGGAGAGCTTATGAATTCGGCCGGTTTTTCCGAGAGATATACAGAAATTCTCTACGCACATATTCAAGATATCCAAGGATCAAGACTTACGTACACACATTGTACATCACGTGTTAGATATGATTCATTGCTGGAAATAACGTTTGATCGCCCAGTTTATGTTTATCGAAATTTAATATATAAGGTGTATGTAGTTTTCAACAAAGTTGGTTGGTATCCAATGTACACTTGCGTACCAGATGTTGTTTGTAACAGGGTAAAATTTATGTTCAATGTAGGCAATCCAAGTGAATCAGTTAGAGACGGACTAATCCGAGCAATAGTTTTTTCTACACCTCAAGAACAGTCCAGATGTGTTATGGAATAAGTTTTTTCGTTTTAACAATATTAATTTATATTATTTAATTTTTATTACAGTTTTTGCATACATATTTACATTTAAGTATACATACAATATATACACCTTTTTAATTACCTTAACTTAAAGTAAGGAATGTATAACAAACAAGCAAAATGTATACATATGTATATGCACGCCTTCTATAAAAGTAAAAAATAGAGGTCACGTTTAGCCCGAGGTAAAGTCCAACTAGTTTTAGTATAGCACACTGCGTTCAGTTTGGTCCAGATTAAAAATTAAAATAATAAGTAATGAGCAAAAGTCAAGGAGAGGTAAGCACATATGTACGTGTATTAATGAATTAATATTTGTGTCAACACGTATAAACAAGCAATATTTAATGCACATGCATATATATATATGTATATGTGATGCATATAAATTATGCTTTTACAGTAATTGAAACTAGATCTGCTAGTTTCCAATTGATAAAATAAAAGAAGAAGAAATTTTAAAGTAAAGTACATTTACTAAAAAAGGTTAATATGGTATTAATCGAATGTTAAATTTATGAATTTTAGTTAAGTAATTAAAAAAACAAAAAATACTATGTATTTTATTAAAGATGGCGTTGTACGTTCGAGGGCCTGCGGTCTTAGACCTCCGTCTACGAACACGCACAGGATCATAACCCTTAGTCAGTAGAATTCTCTTTCTATGTTTCGATAGAAATAAGGGCGTTAAAGATAAATATTTTTCACATGTCGGCATTTTGGTTTGTCGCTATTTTGATTTAGCTGCATATTTAAATTTTGTCGGTATTTTGATGTGTCTGCAATTTGAGCTTCGGTATTTTAAGTCTATCCCGTAGCGGGTGTATAACGTAATGCCGACAATCAAAATCTCGAAATTTATAATTCCAACAATCGAAATGCCGACAAATCAAAACGCCGACAAATTAAAACACCGAAAAATCAAAAAAGCGACAAACTAAAATGCTGGCAATTCGAAATACGGACAGAAGAAATTTTTATAAAATAAATGGTTAATATGGTTCCTAGATCTCAAAGAAAAAAACGGCTGTATAATGAAATGCCGACAATCAAAATCACGAATTTTAGAATCCCGAAAATCAAAATACCGACAAATCAAAACACCTACAACTCACAATACCGACAAATGAAGAAAAGGTGGCGTTGCTCGTTCGAGGCCCTGCTGCCTTCGGCCTCCGGCCACGAACACGTTCAGGATCATAACCCTTAGTCAGCAGAATTCTCTTTCTGTTCTTCGATAGAAATAAGGGATGACAAGATAATACGTAAGATATTGTACGTTCGAGGTGTGTACTTAGTTCTTTCGCGTTGAACTCATTTTTGAAATGGCGGCCTTCGGCTGCGTTTCAAAAAAATTACCCTGGTCGGACCAAGAAATGGGTGTGATCAGTTCTTTCGCGTTTAACCCCTTTTTGCAATCGGCTGCGTTTCAAAAAAATAACCCTGGTCGGACCAACACCTGGACGTGATCAGTTCTTTCGTGTTGAACTCGGCTGCGTTTCAAAAAAATTACCTTGGTTGGACCAAGACTTGTGCGTGATCAGTTCTTTCGTGTTGAACTCCTTTTTGCGATGGCGGCCTTCGGCTGGGTTTCAAAAAAATAACTCTGGTCGGATCAGCATCTGGACGTGATCAGTTCTTTCGCGTTGAACTCCTGTTTGCGTCTCAAAAAAATAACCCTGGTCGGACCAACACCTGAGCGTTATCAGTTTTTTCACGTTGAACTCCTTTTCGGGTTGGCGGCCTTTCGCCGCTCTGCAGAAAAATAAGTCCTCGGCTATACAACTTGAGTTTGCAAATATTTTTCAAAAATATTTTTATGGAGTCTGTATGATTTCGTTATTTTGATTTGTCGGTATTTTGATATGTCTGCATTTTGAATTTCGGTATTTTAAGTGTATCCCATAAAGGGTGTATAATGAAATGCCGACAATCAAAATCTCGAATTTTAGAATCCCGACAATCAAAATACTGACAAATTAAAACATCGACAAATCAAAATACCGACAAATCAAAACACAGACAAATCACAATACCGACAAATCAAGAAAAAGTGGCGTTGTTCGTTCGAGGCCCTGCAGCCTTCGGCCTCCGTCCACGAACAAGCTCAGGATCATAACCTTTCGTCAACAGAATTCTCTTTCTGTTCTTCGATAGAAATAAAGGCAGACAAGATAAAATATTTTTCACATGTCAGCATTTGGGTTTGTTGGTGTTTGATTTGTCGATATTTTGATTTAGCTGCATATTTAAATTTTGTCGGTATTTTGATGCGTCGGCATTTTGAACTTCGGTATTTTAATGGGCCGTCATTTTGAGCTTTTGTATTTTAAGTGTACCCCATTTCTTGCGTATTCTTATAATTTTTCAAGGCTTTACCTGTGTTTTTAGTTGTAGCCGCAGAAAGCATCATTGCTTAATTTGTTTTGAGGAATATAGATACTTTATTTTCATAATTTAATAACATTTACTTAAAAGTGTAAATATTACCAACTTTATACAAATTTCAAAAGTTTTTAAATAAAATCGTTTAAAAAAATAGCTAAAAAAAGTCTGTATTAGTGCGCCCCCTGACACCTTGTCTTCGATCGTTTAAATTGCTTCGTTGTAACCGTTGAACGAAAAAGTGTAGACTTTGCGAAATTGTTTGCGCGCATCAAGGAGAAGCACGCATGAGCGTACGTGCATTTATGAATGTATGTGTGATTGTCATATACTTATGTATATAAATAAGCATTCATAGACCGAAACATATGAACATATTTTGCTAAAATATTTTAATTATCTCAGTAAGTAAAATATGCTATTCAAGTAAATAAATTGAGATCTGCTAAGATTCCAATTTATAAATGCTTATTTTATTCCGCGGTTTTTAGTTATAATCCGCCTTTTTAATTTAAGAGATTTATAAATAAAAATTATGATTTTTTTATCATATCATAGAATTTGACACACAAATCTAAATAGTAGTCATTCGCATCGCTAATTCATTAACGAACATTCGTTGTGTCTATTTATGGCTTTCTGCTATAAGTTCACATAAATTAGCAAAGATACCTGTGCTGTATGTCACATATTGAGCGATGTTAATAGTATGATGTAATAATATCTTAATTAAATCTCATGGATAAGCCGATAAATTGTTGGTGTTGTTGTTGTTGTAACGGCAGAATTCTGCCGAGTTGACAGTCCTTGGCCGGATAAAAATCCGGATCCGTTCCGGTTTTCGTAGACCCGACTGTCGTGGGAACGGAGCCGATAAATTGTCCTAAGACTCGGTGTCTGTGGATACAGTCCTTGATTATTTTCACCCTCTACGAGGGGCCACTAAATGTCTTGTCCTCACCAAGTTTGGTTGAAATAACTTGAATGGTTTCTGAAATATGTATCTACTTTAAATCTAATGGGGGAGGGCCACACCTATTTTTTAAAGTATTTGTAAACCACAGATGGCAGCCCCTCTTGCGTACCATTGCAAGTTCCATCATTTTAGTCTTTAGTTCATATTTTACGTACCGAATTTTGATATTAATATACACAATAATCTGCATGAACCAAAACCTTGTAAAATAAACATTATGACAATAACAATTTTTTATGGTTCAAAAAAAAACAAAAAAAAATTTCAATTAATTTCTCCTAGTCACTCCATACATTTATCCCATCTATGCACAAACTAATTTAACCTGTCTTAACACGTTTTACCCGGCGCATTTTATCTATGGTTCTATACATTGTGTGCACAAGATTGTCAAGTTCGTATAACGACCCTTTTCTAATTGTTTGGTTTTAGAAAGTTCTATAAAAAATATGTTGTATTTATGTTGAAAACGCCTACAACAAATATAAATTTTTAATTCCCCAATCTATTTTATTTACATGGTCCACGCCGGTGGTCCACGTAGACAGATAAATGCAGTACTCATACGTGTTAAAAGTACGTTTTATGGAGGTATTCGATATAAGCCTCCGTGACGGCGACTAAAAGAATGAAATCGTATGAACCCAAACCGGGAGAATATGGCGGCGGTTGTGATGGTGGAAGAGTGCTTTTTTCCATCAGATGGGGATGTTTTTTCTGTACTTCGACATAGAGTTAAATCGATCAATCGGTGCTGTTGTTAACTTGGTTATAACCACGTAAGTGGAAGGAACATATGGCAAATTAATTTTTAATATATATAAAAATTTAAGTAAATATGTATGTATGTACATACTTATGACTATAGTCACTACGGCTCAACAGAATAGGTTCATGATCACCGAGATATATAAACGAAATTATATTAACCTATTCAGTTGATTAGTAATGTATATCCATTTTATTTATATACACATTTTTTTTATTAAGATAAAACAAAAAAAATATTGTAAATATTGTGCAAAATTATTTACAGAGTATTTGTCTATTAAAAAGAAACCAATCATGTCAGTTATTTTCCAAAGTTGTTACATTTAGAGGATGCATATTCCGCCTCTTCACAAGTAAGTGTATTTTCATCAAATACTTTGTCTTCCCCGCATGTGATCAAACGTGGATACCCTTCAACGCATGTTATTAATCGATGGCAATCACCTTGAACAGGAAAACGTGGGAACGGCCAAAAGCGTGCAGCTGGGGATCCGGAATCAACTTTGGTTGGACATTTGAAACCGACGACAGCTGTATAAAATAAATGTGTTTTACCTGAATTTTCAGTTATTTGATAACCTACCTTCTGGATTGCAAATATCTAATAGTTGGTCGGGCCAGTTACAACCATGAATTCTGTCGTCATAAGCTAATCCTGCATCGCATTCCTGCTCGATTGGCTCACCGAATGCGCACTTTATATATGTGGTGGTGCACTCTTTTGATACAGGGTAAATACCGAACTGATAATCACAACCAGGTGTTGTTATCGGTGTCGCTATAGCAAAAAAGGGTTAGTTTATTTATTTATAATATAAAAGTGAATAATACTTACGATCCCATTTTCGCCCGTTACAATCAACAGCCCAGTTATAATTGCAATGATTATGTACTGATCCTTTCCCATCGAACAAGAGGCCGTTTTCACAGGTTTCCAAAGTCAAAGTACCATTTGTACATAGAAAAAATTGATCACATCGCTCAGTGTGAGCATATGCCTGTTCACCTATCTTTTCCGGGCACTCGGATGTTTGAATGGGACCGCCATGACCTTCAATAACAGTATTAAATACACATCAACATATAATAGTTGATTAATTAATTAACTTCGACTTTTTCAAAAATTTCTGGTGCATTCTACTATTTTTGGAATTTGTATATGCAACATTAGATACAATAAAAGTGTACATATATAATCTATAGTATATATATATAAAAGAAAGTTGTGTTAGTTACAGCATTTATAACTCAAGAACGGCTGAACCGATTTAGCCGAAAATTGGTGGGGAGGTAGCTTAGGACATAGGATATTTTTTATCTCTTTGTGTTAAAATTCAATACAATTCATAAATACATTTCTTCAAAATTCATGTATCTAAGAATCATTTGAAAATGATGATAGAAATCACTTGGATGGTATTAGTAGTACTAACAACATATCAGCAACAGTAAAACGTGGACGGGTCCTCTAGTATAATATATATTTTAAAAATATCCCGTTGTTGTATCTATCCGGCTTGTTTAGATGATGGTTTAATCTAATCCCCACCCCTAGATTCACGGATTTCGCGTTCTTTTGTATATCAGTAATTTTCTTTAGTAATAAAATAGTAGTATATATGCATAGGAAAATATTTTAGAAATACATACATACATAAATATATCTATGATTTTAATTAAATTAGCAATTTTTCGAATTTATCTATATTTTTTGTAATTTTTTTAACTGAAAAGCCATTACATAGCAACAGGCGAAAAATTGCTTTAAAGCAAAAAACAGGTTTTTTTGTGGTAATTGAGAAAATGTCATATTTTGCAATGCAGCAAACCAATTCATGGTATTTAAAAGGTATGGACAAATATGTACATACGAATATATGTATGTACATGCCAAAGCATGCCGCGACTTGCGAATATCCGAAACTTCAAACATTAAAATCATAGAAACTGATACATACGCACGTTACAACTCATAACCCCTATGCGTAAGAAAGGGATGAGCAGTCACACATTTATACGTATAACAGTTTTAGGCCTATTCGGCCTCAAGAAACTTTAACAGAAATATCTGGTAGAGCCCTCCGGTAATAAACGTATTATTTAACCGATATATGGCTTACATGGATGTATGTATGTATGTACATAAATGCATAAGTAGATATATTATGTATTTATGAAAGTATTGAAAGTATGTACATACATATGTAAGTGTTTGTACATACATATTTTTTTATACTATATCTCAAAATGAACAAATACAACCACTAATTATGCAAACTAATAACTTTTTCTTTGAAAGGATAAAAATTCTTGCCTTCTGTTGGGAGCTGCGATTATTGAGTTTTGATTTAATAAAGGACACAATCTTTTTAAACGTGCCTTTTAAAGTTAATGCGAATAATAAAAAACATTAACTTCGGCTGCACCGAAGCTAATATACCCTTCACAATTGTATTTCTTTTAGTAACTATGTGTCCAGTTTGTATGGAAGCTATATGCTATAGTAATCCGATCTGAACAATTTTTTCGGAGATTATGTTATTACCTTAAGCAGTAATCCATGTCAAATTTCGTGAAGATACCACGTAAAATGCGAAAGTTTTCCATACAAGCCCTTGATTTCGATCGTTCGGTTTGTATGATAGCTATATGCTGTAGTAAGCCGATCTGAACAAATTCTTTGTATATTACATTATTATCTTAGAAAATAACATGTGCCAACTTTTGTCAAGGCACATTGTCAAATGTTAAAGTTTTCCATATAAGAACTTGATTCCGATCGTTCAGTTTGTATGGCAGCTATATGCTATAGTGGTCCGATATCGGCAGTTCTGACAAATGAGCAACTTCTTGAAGAGAAAATGACGTTTACAAAATTTCAAAATAATATCATAAAAACTGAGAGACTAGTTCGTATATATTCAGACAGACGGACTCAGCTCAGCATACTGATCATTTATATATACTTTATAGGGTCTCCGACGCTTCCTTCTGGGTGTTACAAACTTCGTGCCAATCTTATATACCCGGTTCAGGGTATAAAAATTGTATTTTATTACTAACATGAAGATTTTCCAAGTATTTTGAAAAATTAAATTTTTATGTCATTGGTGAGATTATTAGCCTTATAAATCATAATAAATTTATACTGCATATTATATGCATCAACTAAATGTGTACATATGTATGTACCTACATTTGTTAGCGGCAATTATTTGAAACCTAGTTGCAAAAGAAGTCGTTTTAGTTGTGGTTATGCATACTGTCAAGGCGAACAAGAAAATAGAACAATATATATTTTTAATACCTAATAATAGACATCAAGAAGTATTCTGCAAACATTTTGTACTTTATTTCTACTTAATCGAATCTCATCCGAGCTATATGTAGATAGTAAGAAAATCAATGCAAGTACCCAAATATAGTTGTGACACTTATGCTTTGGTTTTAACTATGGATTAGAAAGAATTGAAACTAATGTGAAATTAGTTGCGGCCTCACGATTTTTCACGACAACATAATTGACATAATAACTTCTTTTTGCAGCCGAATGTGAAAAGTATTAAGTGTGTATATTCTCTTAGATGCTGTGATGAATTGCTTTGCGGCTCACAAGGCAAAAGGATGTTATGAACAAATAATTGGATTATACGTGCGTTGGCTTCGATCTGCTACATATATGAAAAAAGTAACCAATAGAAATGTTGACATATAATAAAACTTAAACTTTAATATAATAAACATTCCTTGACAGTAACCCTGCTCACAACCTGAATTAATTCTGAATTCTGATTAACACTATTTATTGACCGATTTCCTATAGGGTGCATACAAATGTGTATATGCATGTTCATGAATACATAATAATACTTAATAAATTGATAAAACAGGGTTCTTTCCAAACGCTCATATCAAATGGTTGAAGAATGGCCTTAATTTGAAAACGAATTTTGAAAGCTCGTTTATTTAACCGGAATTGTTTTGGCTGCCTAAACGGTGCAGTGTGTGTAAATACAAATATTCATTTATAGGTAGAAAGGTAAATATGTCCAATAACTACAGTTAATGATTGGCTAGATCGTACAATATAAGTTTCATGCTCCACTTCACTTGAAAGTGGGTAATGATTATTGCACCTTGTGCATAGCAATACTTATTATACTTCCATTCATATTTGCATTTTTATACATACACATATGTATATGTACTCATAAAATCACCTAGTATATACATATGTATATACAAGTGTTATATAATGTTTTATACTGCTACTCAATTTTATACAAATATTATACTCAAACTACTACATATATATGTATGTATGTATGCATGTATATACATACGTATGCTCTGCATGTGCAATAAATACGAATGCATCGTTGAAGTTTTACATAACATCCAACCATGTGGCCATATACACACATACATATATACATACTACTTATTGATCTATTGCTGTATTACTTTTACTTTCAACCACACATACGTTCGCTTTATGCATATGTCCGTACATATCGTCGATTTGAAAGGAATCACTTCCATATACATAAAAATAACTGAAAATATTTATATATGTTTTACCTTGCGCTACGACTCCAAATAGGACTAATAAAATACATAAACTTTTTTGCTGCATAACACTATTGCTTTAACGTATTATTTATGAAAAGATCAAAATTTTTCAAATTTTGAAATTGCGTAACTGTAAATAGCTGCTTTGATGTAGCGAGACCGGAACGTGTTTGCTCAACTGCGATTCGATCTTAACTGAATATGTTTGGTCATAGTACCTCAAAAAGCTGAATATCTTTGAATATGAAGAAATGGTAAACCACTTCGCAGTTAAGTAGCAACGTGATTTTAGATATTTTATATACACTCATTTGATATACATATGTACTCGCGAGCTTGTTTATAATTAAAACTTTGTCCTATTGCTGTTTTGTTGTATATAATGCAAAAAGCGATAGGAAAGCTTTTACCTATTAAACATGATTAGACCTTAAAAACCCAAAGGAACAAAACAGTTTAATTTATTACTAAAATTTTGCTTTTAATTGATGTTACATACATACTTATGTACATCCACAGTAAATGAATTTGTTTATTACAGCTTTTAGTTAATACCAAATTTTGTGGAAAAATTCCAGTTTGAGATATATGTATACTTCCTCTTATGTAAATGTCATCTGAATAAAATATTTTGAGTAGAAGGAACCTTTTAGCATTGAATTTCGAATTAAAAAAATGTTTGCTGGTAACTGTTGCAACTAAACGAAGTTTTATTTCCGTCACATGAGCCAATAACTTATTCTCTTTAGTGGAATATAGACCGCTTACGTGATTAAAGCTGAATTAACAACAGCGCGCCAGTCGTTTCTTCTTTCCGTTATGTGGCTTCAATTGGAGATTCCAAGCAAATCCAGGGCCTTCTCCACCTGGTCTTTCCAATGGAGTGGAGGTCTTTCTCTTCCTCTACTCCCCCGCGGGTACTGCGTCGAATATTTTCAGAGATGGAATGTTTTCATACATTCGGACAACATGACTTAGCCAACGTAGCGCCTGCCTTTTAATTCGCTGAAGTACGTCAATGTCGTGGTATATCTCAAACTGCTCGTTCTATCGAATGCGATATTCGCCGTGGCCAACGCCCAAATAATTCTTTCGCAGAACCTTTCTCTCGAAAACTCGTAACGGCGACTCTTCAGATCTTGTCATCGTCCATGCCTCTGCACCATATATCACGACTTTACTTCTCAATTGCCTACGCATTCCGAAGTAGCACCTGTTGGCAAGAGTTATTCTGCGTTAGATTTCTAAGCTCCTTTCCGTGCTGTCTAACACCTTATGTTTGTGGGGCACGTACTTTCAAAAAAAACATGTGAATTATTAAAAATTATAATGCTCTTGATAGACCATTAATTCGAACCTTTATTTAAACGTTGTGCTAGCCGATAAGCGAACGTTTTCTCTTTTTTATAGATAGTCACGAAAAAGCTGTTGCAGCTTTAATTTGCAAAGCATTAGAAGATTGTTTTGAACAGAGTTACGATAATGGTGGTGATATGAGTGCCAAATATGAAGGAACGCAAAATCACATCCAACGTAAGAATAAGTATGCAGTTCTTTCGCCCAGTAGTGAACACATGTTTAATTTGGCTGGAGTCGACTTGGCTGAATCGCTGCCGCCAAAGCTCGCTTCTACACACAACTACTTGTTCAAAAATTTCATCATGATAGCAGTATTCAAAATCCGTTTTGTCATTAAGTAGATCGTTAAATAAATAATTAGATGTTTTTGTCTTATTAACATTCAAGTCTAGCTAAGTATTGGCAACTACATATAATTAAAAGGTCATAGGCTAATGAAAGGTCAAGCTTTCGCCCAATTTTATCCATTTTAGGCCCAAACAAACACTGTTATGGAAAAAAAAGCACTCTCAATTTTATTAAGATAACTCACATATTGCCACGCCCATTGTACAAGTTTTATATCGCTTCTTATAAAACTGTATCCATACCATATCAGTAGAATTTAATGTCTCTGGAGATTTTGGTTATTTATTTAACGCGCTTTAGTAGATTTTAACAACTCCGTTATATGGGGACTGGGCGAAGTTATGATATGATTTATTTCATTTTCACACGGTCGGAAGGGGTCCTCATAGGTCTTATCTTGAGGCAATTTTGGTTATGTACATTAAACTTATTACAGGGTGGGGCCACGTCCACTTTTTATAAATTTTTAGTTCACAGGTGCCTTCCTACTGAGATCTTTTGTGCCAAATTCTTCTATATCTTAATTTAGTGCTTAGTTATGGCACCTTATAGGTTTTCCTTTAATAGCGTTTTGTGGGTGTGGCAGTGGTGCGATAACGTTCTCGTTCATACTTTTTTTTATCAAGGAACATATCATAAGTTTCCTAGGATATTCAAATTTTTCTCAAGTTACAGCTTGCAGGGACGGACAGTCAGATAGTCACTCGGGTTTAAACTCGTCTCATCATTCTGATCATATATATAATATATATATAACCCAAAATCTGACTGGATTATCATTAGGTGATAAAAACAAGCGGTAAACAAAACTATTATATTCTGCAGAAACATGTAGCAAGAGTATACAAAATTAGATATAAGGAAATGTATTAAGATAATGAATATTTAAAAAGTCTGAATAATCGGTTGTATGGGAGATATGTGATAATAGTTATCCGCTTTGACTAATTCCAACAAATGATCAAGAGAATATCAAAATGCACGGTAAAATTTTTATGATTCTTAAAAAACTCCGCTTTTAAAATCGCTGGGTCGAAACTGGTTTTAGACCCATGTCCTCTTGTTAAGAATGATCCGTAGAATATTTCCCGGATATGCGATTTTTACGTTTATTTGTAAACTCAATGCTTCCTCTGGTCATTCAACAGATTCATTATTTCTCTCCAGCGCCATGATTAATAAGTTAAATTCTGATTATTAAGACGTTATGATTGTAATTTCTCCAAATTTTCTTTTTGGACCTATGAAATTTTGAGTCGAGATCGTAAAAGAACAAATTTTTTGGACATGATAACAATTAAAAAACTAAAAACTTAGTTATTTGATTAATTCACATAATTTTTAAGTTAATTTGAAAAAAGTCTGCATATAGAAGTTGTAGGTCCTTTAAGATGGTAGACCGCCTTTAGGGCATGTTTTACTGGTTTACATTCAAAAGGGTAAAAATTTAATTAAAGCAAGGCGAAAATTTTATAATGTATACGGACAAGGTGGGTTAACCTAGCGTCAATGCCAAAATTATTTTGCAATATTCCCTTCTAGTAATTTCGATTTTGAGGATGCACCACGTCCAAGAAGTACTCTTGAAACTGGTGCAGATAAAATGAAGTTGTTGGTCGTTGAAAATCGTCGAATAACAATTGATGAGATTGATGTTGAAACATTAAATTTGTCTAATGCGACCGTTCATGAAGAAATGATCAATTTTTGAAGCGTATTGTTCCACTTCTTATCCCGATAATCGAAGGGTATCTTTTGGGTGGGATTTCAATGGAATTTTGAAGTGTATTGTGATCAGCTGGACAAGTTGAGTGCTGCTTATAAGGATACACAATTTAGTGAGCACGGAATCAACCTCTGCCCGAAGAATGACAAAAGGCATTGGGCCAAAATGAAGAATATAAACTTTCATAAAACATTTTACACAATAAAAATTTGCACTAAAAATGAGATTAATTGGTGAACGACCAAAAAATCAAATTTGCTTGGATCAAAACATTAACAGTAAAGGCGCGGTCAAAATATCTATGTGATAAGCCATAAAGCACCGAGGTGGCAATGACAGCGAGTTTGTTCATTTTTATTTCCTTCTATAGCAATAGAACAGCTGATTATGTTTTGATTCGCCTTAATTGATTAAAACAAACCCATATATAAGTATTTTGAAATCAAAGATTTGATTCAAATAGTTCGACGAAAGATCGCTAATTTTTAATAATTATTCATATTTAAATTATTTAACTAAATTCAATTTTTGCAAACAAACATATATCTTTATGAATGGTGATGGCAAATAACATTGAAAAAGCTAGAGTGCTTATAGTAGGAGATTCAGGTATGTATGTACATATATTTTATTATGTTTTATTGGTTGCGTTGAACGCAGTGTATTTTATATGCGACATTCAATTCTAGGAGTTGGAAAAACATGTTTAACACACTTGATAGCACATAGTGAATCCTTAACCCGTCCAGGATGGACTGTCGGATGCAATATAGAAGTCAAACTTCACGAATATAAGGAAGGGACCCCTCATCAAAAAACGTATTTTATTGAACTGTTTGATATTGGTGGGTCCTTAAGCCATAGAAATACGAGAGGTGTGTTTTATACAACTTTACATGGAATTATTCTAGTTCATGACTTAACAAATCGTAAAAGTCAAGAGAATTTACGGCATTGGCTTTTTGAAATCCTTAATAAAGATGGAAAGGACAATAGGAATTTAAGTCGTGACAATACATTTGATCCAGAGCAATTTTTAGGATCGACACAACTTCCCATGCTAGTAGTTGGTGCAAAACTAGACCTATCAGAGGAAAAACGGAAATCAAACCAACTTCAAAAAATTGGTTCGATCGGTAAGTACAGTAAATTTAATGCTTTATTTCTAAAATACATGGAAAAAATTACAGCTGAGCATTGTGGTTCGGAAGAAATATGGTTAAATTGTAGAGATTCTCGTAGTTTTGCTGCAGGAACAACTGATGCCGTAAAATTATCTCGTTTTTTCGACCGTGTAATTGAGAAGAAAAATCATTCTCGAGACCCGCCCAATGCATCCTCAGATAGAAGAAAACATGCAAGTGCGGAAGTTGGGAACAGAATAAGCTCGCAACTTACTTGATTAAAAAGGACCAAAAATAAAAGGAGATACTAGTTTGAGAATGTGTTGTATGTATGCTTATGTAAAATGTTACCTTTGTCATATCCTTAATAAATAGTACTTTAGAATGGAGTATTTATAATGATCTTTTTTTATTTTTTATTATCTGATTTTTTATCGAAAATCTTAGCCTGGAGGCCATTGCATTTGACGTCCTCCGAGAAAATGCAGATGCAAATGATAAACAGATTGTGCTCCGTGTTGACCGTTGTTTATAACAACTCTGTAGCCTTTGTCTAATCCTAGATCTTTGGCTACTTTTGCACCTACTAACATAAGATGGCCTAGTAATTGACTGTCATCTCCGCTTGCTTGCGACAGTTGCATGATGGGCTTCCTAGGTATTACAAGAAAGTGTGTAGGTGCTTGAGCATTTATATCATGAAATGCGACGCACTAAAAACAAGAAATTGTAAAAACCATGTAAAAAAAAGAGTTATAAGTTAACCTTCTCATCCTCATATATGAAATTGCATGGAATTTCCTTTCGCAAAATTTTTCCGAAAATAGTATCTTCGGCGACACCCGCTGTTTGTGCCTTCTCAACTTCACTAGACATTTTCGCAATATTGGTTAAAGGTCGAGGCAAGCTACAATAAGTCAACATTGAGAGTCAAATATTTAGAATTGAAAAAAATTTACCTTTTCCGTAAAACCAAAACTGCACTTGAAACGAGAAAATTCACACTCATGTACGTTGTTCCAAAGTTTTAGCCGAGAACGTAAATTATATGATATACGTTCTCTGCCTTTTCTAAATTTACGTTCTCTGCTGGTAGTGCCCACCAACAGTGCTGCCGTTTCAAAGCTTTTGCGAACCTAACAGAGAACGTATAAACGAGAGCAAGAGGAGTGATGCCACTAACATGTAAAATGTAAAATTACTTAAGGCTCTAACCTGACGTTATTTTACAAATAAAAGCATAAAATAGCCCTGTTATATCATTTGTAAAACAATTGATAATTTAAAACAAAAATATTTACCAATTTACTTATTTTTTGCATAAAAAATTTCACTTTGAACAAAATGTTAAAATTTCATTGAAGTGAAAGGTATTAGTATGGCCACAACGAAATTGTGTACATGCAAAATGGACAGCTGTGTTGTTTTTTGTACATGCCATCTATTGTTATGACGCTGCCTTCTTACAAATGGAAATGGTTTCCTGACGTCGTGCTGCCATGTCGTGTCGCGTAGAGCGTTAAGTGCTGAACACAGAGAGCGCGACAGACTGCATGCGACATTGTCAAAAACTACAAATAACGTAAGGTTTGTTAAAGCTTTGAATAATTTTATATTCCACTTATTAGTGGCGTCACTTCTCTCTACTGTCAACTTAACAGCCGTCCTACTGTCAACTCTACTGTCGTCCTGCTGTCGGTGGCAAATTTAATAATATTTTCAAGTTAGCGAGAGCGACAAGTGACGGCCTGCAGTCGTGTAGTCGTGCAGCTGCCTAAATAACTGTGCCCATAAGAACGTGTATATTTTAATATTTGACAGATGTCGCGCTCTATGTGTTCAGCACTGTATGCTTTAAATGTCATATTACTTATTCAGAATCCTGCAAAATACATACAGATAATGTAGAATAATGTTTATATAATTATAAAACTATATTCTCTGTTATGAGTTCCACATTCGCATTGGAGCTTCGTAGTTACTTTCCTAGGCCTCGGCCAAGGTTACACAAGGTAACCTAAATTACGCATGTACCTTTAGTATTTCCTTTTGTTTTTTATAAACATAGTTACTCAATGTTTAAAAATAAAGAAACAAAAAGTTATAAAAGAGCTTATTTTTACCAGTTAGTACATATGTACTACTCTACTTTTGTTTAAAGAAAAAAAAAAAACATTTTTGTTGCCATAGAATTAAAATGAAAATCAACATTAAACAGATTCTTCAGTCAATAAAAAGCTAATTGTAAGTTTTTAATTTAATTTTTATTTCCTATATAAAAAAAATCATTCGAATTCATTTTTAAGAAGAAAATGTCAAAGTCTATTACCAGCTTGAACTTTAAACCGCAATCGCGTAGAAAACCATCAAAGAGTCATTTAGCCAAGCCAACCACAGTGAATACTGTGATTACTGAACAAGATGATATGCCTGCAGAAGAAGACTCCGATGTTCATTTGTAGGGATAATTTATTTAAGGCTTTGATTTAAATGTTTCTTATTTTTACAATTTAAAGAGTAACAACAGGTAAACTGCAAGCTAAGAAGTGGCGAGAACCTGATTCAGATGATGAAGGCAATCCAGAGCATAACTATGATATTGCTGAAGCTTGGCGAAGCCTTTTTAGTTTGCCATCCTGTCATCAAATAATCCTGAAGTATTTATATCTAAATATATTCATATAATAATATTAACATTATTTTAACTTGCAGAGAAAATGTTCAGCGACGTTTACAACTTTTGGTTGGATTAAATGTTACTCAAGAATTCCCTTGGAAACAAATAAAATATAAAAACTTAGTAGACCAATTTCAAAATATAGAAGATGGTGATTTTATGAGCTCAGCTCTTGAAGGGTTTAATTTAGAGGACCATTTATTATTTGGTTACACACCAATTTTAACAGAGAACCAAGATGATGTTCCTGAGGGTGATCCGTTCATTGTTTTTTTAAGTCCTGCCGACGCGAAAATAGCATTAACAATAATTCGAAATATGGAGCTGTATGAGCGGTGGCTTGTAAACAAACGTTTGATAAAAAAGCCTCGTAGATGGATATCGCTAGGTAGTGAAAATGAAGTAAATATGACCATAGAGCAAGCTCACTCAAGTCCGTTAGAGGTCGAGGTGCAGAGTGTATATCCTTTAAGGATACCTGAGCTCAAAGAATTTTCTTTACGAAAATCTTCGGATATACGAGATGGATATGTAGAGCTATTACCTAGTGATTTAATAAAAATTGAAAATGTTACGCGGCGTCGAGTTACCATTGGAATACAATCCGCTCCAACTTTAATAGATCTTGAACAGCAAACCGACCCTACATTTCCAACAAATGCTTGGGCACAATATCTATATGAAATAAATGATGAAGGTTTTTGATTAACTTATTCATAAGACTAAATTAATTAAATTTCAATAACTTTTTAAAACAAAGATGAATTGGATGAAACATCAGAAGACGAGACCTCTAAGAATCAAATACATGGGTCCAGCCGAAGTCCAACCCCGTCACCAATAGAGCCCCGAACACCTAAACCACAGCCCGTAATGTCATCTAATATTCGACTCTTACTGGACACCCTTGAGTTTAATCAAATTGATATGTATCGGTAAGTTATGTGCGAAAATAAGTAACATCGGTGTTAAACGCTTACATCCGAATTAGTGAATATAACTATTTTTGATTAAAAAGATAAAGATCTTATTAATTATTCGCTTTGTTAGTCATCTTGAATAATATTAACAATATTAATCTTAAATGCGGAATGAGGTCCCCTCATCATGTATTTATTACACTGCTAATTTATTATGTATTTTTGTTTCTTTTCATATTTTTAGTAATGATTATGCATACATTTGTAATAAACCGATTGAACACTATACCACTCCACATTTAGAAGAAACCTTGTGTTTTGCAAATATTTCCAAAAGCTATGAACGCTACGTTTGTGGGATAGATTGGTATTCCTCTTTGTCGGGATTAATTGCAACCTCTTATACATTTAATACTCCTGCTACAGTTGAATTAAGTACATATTTTTTTAAATTGATTTTAGTATACTTAATGCTTAACAACTTTTAGTCTCACGACATGTGGATGTAGTTCAACGGGCTGTATTACAGCCAAATCCGATATTAATGTGGAGCTTTGCTGATAATTTAAATTACAAGTTAGAGTTTGAAACATCTCAAGAAGTGACCGTTCTATCATTTTGTCCACATGACCCCAATCTTTTATTCGGTGGAGGTAAAAATGGTCAAATAATTGCTTGGGATTTACAAGGTCGGGCAGAAAAGCTTGACGCTGAAGAAATACTAACAGCGGCACAATCGAAATATCGTGTTTTAATAGCTGATTTTTTAAAATGGACAATACAGATAAATGAAGATGCTATTGTACCGCCCGTCATGTCATCAGCTTTAGAGGTATCACAAAAGTCTTCAATTACTGGTATTTATTGGCTGGGTCAACATTTTTATGTAAATTCTTTTGGAAAGACTCTAAATGATCCAAATAAAGAGATTGTGCATAAATTCTTTCTCACTTGCTCTGTGGATGGAACAATATCTTTCTGGGACTTGGATTCAACAAATGATAAGAAACTTCAAGCCGGAACATTAAGACATGACCAACCCAAAGCTCTGACACAGAGCGAGTCCATATATAAAAATAAAGTGCTAAAACCTATATTTACTATTGTGTTTAATGAACCGATAACATCTATATTTTGCGATTCATCTGTATTTCATTGCAAGATTCCAGATTCTGCAAAAAAAAGAGTAAATTCGAATAATTTTACTACGATTTTAGAACCAATTAATCCAAAGGAAATCAGACAGTCAGTTATAACTTCATCATTTTATGGACACATTGAAAGACTGAATTGGTTAGGTTCATATGCTGATGAAGAATGCCGCGAAAACGTTTCTAAATCAATAAATTTTGCTAGAGTTCATGATGGGCCAGTAATTGCAATAAGAAAAAATCCATTTTATCCAGTTGTATTTGTTTCAATAGGTCGGACTATATTTGCTGTGTGGAAAGAAAATTTTAATTATTCGCCAATATTTTGGAGAAAATGCTCCGCAGATTTAACAGCTGTTACATGGAGTGAATCACGACCTGGAATTTTATATCTCACTCGTATTGATGGAAATATGGAGGCTTGGGATATTTTAGGTAATTGCTATAATAAAAACAATTATCTTAATATTAGAAAATGTAAACCCCACAACATTCCTTAAAAAGCAATTCGCATGATTAATTAATTGAAGTTTATATAATAAAGTTTTGACCAGAGCTTAACTGACTCACAAAAATAGCTCAACAATGTAAAGTTAAGAGTAACAAGTAAGGAAGGGCTAAGTTCAGGTGTCACCGAACATTTTATACTCTCGCATGATAAAGTGATAATTGAGATTTCATTATCCGTCATTACATATATTTTTATTTTGCTGTACAATTAATTAGATTAGATCAATTTGTGTACTTTGAGTATTGAATTGGATTTTTATTTATTTTAATTGTATTGAAAAGTTATAGTCCGATCACGACAATTTTTCCACAAGAAATACCTCAGCTCAAATACCGTATTTGTGTAAAGTTTTATTCCGCTATCATCATTGGTTCCTAATGTATATATTATACAGAGAAGGCATCAGATGGAATTCAAAGTAGCGTTATATTGGAAGAAGGCGTGGTTGCGAACCGATTTCACCCATATTACCAGTACATGTCATCAGGGTTATTATATACAGAATTTCATTGAAATCGGTTGAGTAGTTCCTGAGATATGGTTTTTGGTCCATAAGTGGGCGACGCCACTCCCATTTTCAATTTTTAAAAAAAGCCTCGGTTCAGCTTCCTTCTGCCATTTCTTTCGTAAAATTTAGTGTTGCTGACGTTTTTTGTTAGTTAGTTAACGCACTTTTAGTGATTTTCAACATAACCTTTGTATGGGAGGTGGGCGTGGTTATTATCCGATTTCTTCCATTTTTGAACTGTATGTGGAAATGCCTAATGGAAACGACTCTATAGGTTTGGTTGACATAGCTATAGCGGTTTCA